TTAAAGTACGTTGTTATGTGCATCTTTTGAGCTGTTATTTATTAAGTTTGGTTAGGAATTGTTGAAGTAATCGTATTTCGTACCGAGTCAGGTCGCGGCGGGCAACTGTGCGCAAGCATTTTAAAATGCGCACAATTACCCATTTCCATATACTGTATGACTATAGCATTAGTTTTTTCGTTTCTTTTTGGCATTACTATTTTATTTTGCCATTTTATTTTGCCAAATTCTATGTGCATTATTATTATATTAGTTTTGTATTTTTTCTTAATATATGCAATGTACGTTTAATACATGTTTAATATATATTTATATTGCAATATAATGAATGTATGTCCTGATTTCTATGTCAACATTCCACAATTCATTCGTTTCTTACGACTTTTGTTTTGCGCATAATTACCCGATGCGCGAGAAATTTTTTAGCTTTTCCGTTTTTTTCATTTTACCAAATACAACCTTATTGAATGAAAATCTGTTCAAGATAAGAATACGTAATGGTAGAAGAATGTTTATAGTTTCTATTTCCATATTTATATCGCTTAGATCTTAGAAAACCATTCCAAGAAAATAAATATCCCTTAGGTGCGCACAATTCGCCCACTTTCCCCTATTATTTCTATACAATTGTTTAAATAACTATCTCGCGAGCGGTGCAACTATAATACAAACGGAAATAATTTTACTACAATTCACTACATTCTATAAGAAAAGATGTATATATATATGGTATATATATATATATATATATATATACTTAAAATTTATTAATTTCAAAGTCGGGGGATGACAATTTTTAAGTCGCGATAATTTTGTTTCTGCGCTATTACAAACGAAATAAATGTTACTACATTCAATTACATACGAAGATCTTTCGAAAAAAAATATATTTGTGTAAGTCGGGTGCCAAGTTCACAAAACCTTTTTATGTTCATTGATTCTTGTCTTTAGTTGCCTGCCTGTCTGTCCTACATATGTTGCATCACAATCATTACAACTGATTTTATAGATTTGATCTTATGTTATTTTTTGAAAGATGGGTCTTTATGTATATACTTTAATACATTTTCGTAATTTATTAAAACTATAAAATGACACCTTGATGTCGTTTCTATTAAATTTTTTGAATTTATCTGTCAAAGATGGAATAAAAAGGACTGTGAACCACGATGGGGACACTGATAATTCGTCTTTCTTCTCTGAATTATTATGCGGTGCTGTCTTCCTTCGTAGAATGCTTTTGACTCTGCTAATCTCTTTTGATGCTTTTGACTAATTAGTAATCATTAGTTTAGTAGATCTTCTATTCTCTAATTCAGAATATCTTACAAAAAATTTAACAATGATAATTGAAATATTATTACGGAATGATTACCTCTTAAATTCATTTTTAAGACAATAAACAACAAAGTCAAAAGCATTCTACGAAAGAAAACAGTACCGTATAATACTCTTATGATTTCGTGTTGGATCCATCTCTGTTATTGCTTATTTAGCGTCTTTATCTCCTTATAATAATTTCTCTCTTGAGCTTATTTCTAAGAAGTTGATCACGTTCCTTGCCTGACATCTGCCCAGAGAATGCAAACTCTAGCAGCCATATAGGTTTTTTTCTTATAGGTTAGCATCTTGAATTCTTTTACTATTAGAATTCCTGCTAAACTTAAGACCTCAAGTCGTCGGAAAGTCTTAACCCCTTCTCTTATTTAATCCTTTTTTAGGCAAACCTGAATTATGAATTTTCTCTTTAACTAAGTTCTACCTTGGTCTCACGTAGCCTTTTCGGTCTATTAATTGTGATTCTTTCTTTATCTCCTTCCGTTCTCCGCATGATGTTCTTTCTTCTCAGACTTTGAATTGTTGGGTCAAGTTTGTTCTGGGGTTCAGCGGGTATTGATATCTCTATTTTTTCGGCTCGTTCCAGACATGCTTCTATATCCTTCGCACCTATTAAGGGTATCAATTTGGATGAGATTCGGCGTACCGCGGGTTGGAGTAAATCCTTTGCTATCTTCGACGGCTTTTACAATCGATCGATTAATAAAGATCCATTTTTTCATTTTGTTATTCTTAACACCTCTTAATCCCTCTATTTTTTGGTCTCTCTTGTAATTTTTTCTTTCCGTAAAATTGTCCACAGAAATATAAATAAAAGTTTTTTTCCTTCATTTTTTTATTTTCTTTACAAATCTGCGCTTTAAACTTCTACGAGTCTTCATAAATTTAAAGCTCACAAATCTGCTTATTTGGAGTGGGTGGGTGTGATTGTCCATCCAATCGAAACTTTGCATAATTAATTAATTGAACGAACTTACCGTGACGTTCGATTCCAATTATGCGGTGTCGTTCGGATGGACAATCCCACCTACGCTCCCACCGCTCCAAATAAGCAGATTTGTGGGCTTTAAATTTATGAAGACTCGTGCCAGTACACGCGCAATTGGCGCCGCCTGATAGTCAACCTTTTTCCTTTCAAGCTTTAAATTTCCTGTTGGGGATAGTGCAGCGAAATGCTACTACATATGTTCATTCGGACGATTTCATAATTGGAATCGAATTTCGATAAGTTCGTTCAATTAACCAATTTTATCACTCATTCTACGGATAGAGTAACAAAAAAATAAATATGTTAATTTAAATTCTAGTATTATAAACGACTAAGGATTATCAACAATATTAGTTATTATCTTACAGAAACGGCAATGGGTGTGGATATATATGCTCAAGAAGTTGTAAACAAATATACATCAACAGTACAGCAGTCAGTTTTTAAAATTCTTATAATGTTATTATTAATAAAACTGTTAATGATTTATTACTTAGAGTGAAGAATTAACAATAAAATTTAATAATTAATTACATATACAATTTCCGTAAGTTGAATTCCAATTATATTTTCAGAGTCTCCACGTTAATAATAAATCGAATGATTCAACCATGGTATTGGATTGACTGGTTGTACTATTTATTACCTGCAGGAAAACAGTTTAAATCAACGCTTGATATATTACATGGATTTACAAAAAAGGTATACTATAGGAGCTTTAATAACATGTATTTAAATAGATTTAAAATAATGTTTAAGTTTCAATACTTTTTTTACATTACTTTATTAAAAGAAATTTCATGTTTACAACTAATATAATAAATTATAGATAATAAATAAGAAAAAGATTGAGCGACAGTCGCAAAATGCAAAACTCGAAAATGAAGATAATGAAGTTAACATAGGTGCGATTATAAATTTTAATTATATATCGTTCATTATATATATCTTTCTATTTTGTGAGTATTTCTTAGTTAATAAAATTTATTGTGTCAGGTAAGCAGAAGAGAAAAGCGTTTTTAGATTTATTATTAGACCAAAATGAGAAAGACGAGACTCCTTTGACTGATGATGAATTGAGAGCACAAGTCGATACGTTCATGTTTGAGGTGAGATATTCGAAGTTAAAATTAAAATTTTCTAATTTTTAATATAAAATTTTGTCTTATTAGTTTCTCGACAATATATCTGTGCAAATAGAAAGTACATGTAAAATAATATGAAATTATAATAGGGACACGATACAACTGCTGTTGCCATAACCTGGGCATTGTTCCTTTTGGGCAATAATCTCGAGCATCAGGAAAAAGTTCACGAAGAACTCGAGGAAATTTTCGGAGATTCAGAGGTACCAGCCAGTGTAAAAGAACTGTCGCAATTAAAGTATCTTGAAAGAGTTATAAAGGAGGCACTTCGAATATTCCCAAGCGTACCTTTAATCACGAGGGAACTAGTAGAAGATGTAAAAATAGGTAACTCTGTCTACTAATTAAGAAAAATATTTTAAAGAATTTACAATACAGGATGATTCAGAATAAACGTTTGTCCTTAAAGTATCATATTTCTGACTTAATTCTAAGACGATTTTTCCTTTGCGAAAATTTTGTCTAAAACTTAGTTTTTAATTACGAATTAATTAAAGAAGAAATAGTTAGCGCGCGCTTATCACAGGTCACGCAGAGGAGATGGGCAGGAGCGGCACTCACAGTTAGACGCGAGCGCTTTACGCACGGCATGCATACTGATCGGACACATTCACACGTTTATAAAAATACGTTAGTAGTATGTGGGCAGCCATGGAGCGTCAAAACAAACCCCCACCACTCCACCCCTGGCGTCAAAACAAACCCCCTCTTTCCCCCCTAGACGTCAAAACAAATCCCCCTCCACTCCCCCCTAGACGACTAGAGGGGCCTGTCTAAAAAAAGGGAGCGCTCTGACTGGTTGGTGAGGGTGGAGTAATGAGGTAATTAAATGGCGCGTTTCGATTGGTTCGCTCCATGGCTGCTCGCACTACGATTGATGAGGGAGAGGGCGCGTTGAGTGAGAGAGAGAGTGAAAGTGAAAATAAAAAACCGCCAAGTCCGAGAAAATGGCGGAGGTGGAGAAAATACGTCCCCGAGACAGTATTTTGCCAGGGGGAAAATGGGGGAAAGGTTCAGGCTTCGGAGAGGAATGCGGATATGATTTATGGCCCTTCGTTTTTTTTTCGCACCTCGGCGTCCTGGTTAAACGCAATGAAGAGAGTCTTTCTTTATCGCTTATTTATTTTTCTATTATTTAAGGCTGTGCGACCGATTTTTTTGTCTGGAAGGACAGGAGGAAAACGAATGGGCAAGTTCGTGCCGATTTGTAACAGAGCTGGGATGATTTACTCGATTTAGATAAATTCTTTCTGTGCCCTTTATTTTAGCGTTAGTCTTATTTCGAAAAATGACAAAAGTTTTTATTAATTTAGTTCTCACAAAAAATATGATAAAAGAAGATGTCGGTTGGAAGGGAACGAGAAAATGATTAAGAAAATAATAAACGTGGCGTACAGTGACAAAATTGAAAAAAAAGGTGTTTATTGATAAAATAACGTTGTCACATAAAATAGTTTTTTCTCGAGAATAATCATTTATTTTATATTTTAATTTTTAAAACAGTAGACGATTGAACATGACGGCATACAGCATGAGAATTAACTGTTTCATGTTTACAATGAAGAAAAAATTTATGGAATAACTGTGCGATCAATCGATCATTGCGTTTACAATCAGAGGTAAACAGACTAAGAAACTGGCTAAGATTATAACCATTACACATAAAATATAGAAATACACAGCAGTATTGTTCGCAAGTTTGAGAAAGTATTCCTTGCAGCGTCGTCGTATTCCAGTGATACGTGGTGGAGTTTCGGCGAAGTCGTAACAGGAATCTTGAGGCCAAGGGCGGCAAACCGTAGCTATCGAAATATGTTCCTGTACCGCATTCGTCAATGTAGAAGGCGACCCAGTACTGGCCAGGTCGATCGTGATCGTCTGTGTTAGTGACAATGGCAGTCGACTTCGTCCACACCCTCGGCAGTCGGTCGGCAGGATAGACCCCCGCATGTCGGGCACTGAGATGAAGGCGTTTAAAACTTCCAATGAATTTATTTTTCGGCGTAGGTGAGCGTGAGAGAGGAAATGTATGCGTAAATTCAGACTTTACCTCTTTTGCCAGTACGTGCGTTGTAGAGTTCTCAAAAATACTAGACGTTTGTGAAACACTAGTGTTAGCTTTAACTCTATCAGTCGTCGAGTCGAATTTCGGACGATCTTTTTTCTCCTCAGCTGTCGTTTGTTCGTCCTCACTTTAGTTCGCCTTTTCTGTCTAAGACGATATTTTTCCTCCACGCCTCGATGTTGCGAAATAGTTTTTCTGATTTTTAAATTTAATTGAAAAATTTCCGCTGTTTGTTTTTTCGCTCTCGACGTCGCTCTCGTTGCAATTTTCTGAAGGAAGATTATCGTAGCTCGAATTGCTGCTATTTCATATAGCTAGCCAACGTTTCAATTTGTAAGCGTTGCGTAAGGCGCAATGTGATTCAACGTTGGTTCGAAATACGTGGTGCGTGCAACGTTGTCCGCAACCTCCGAAATCTGGCAGATTTTTGAAAGCCGGAGAAATTCCTTCCAGATTATATACGTTTCTGGAGAGTAGATTACTCAGATAACGTGACTTCTCTTGTCCTCTGGTATAGATGTAGCGTGCGTGTCGTGTAATAGCTCGCAAATGTATCGTGAAGTATGTAGGTTTAATGTCTCCGTCGAACCATTCGATTCCGTGATATTTTCGTGTAAGCCAGTTGTTTTCTCGTTTTGCTCTCTCGGGTAATTCTCCAAATGGATAAGGTGGCCTCATAATCCAGTGCCCGGTGATCGTCGCATTAATCGCAAGAACCGCGACTTCTTTTGGAATAAAATTTTCTTCGACATCGCGAAAACCTTGTATATCGACGACTATATCCATTATATATTCGAATTTTTGCTACTCTTTTTATGTTACGAAACGTCAGCGTCGGTGTCACGAACAAGACTGAAGCTTTTTTCGTCATCTCACGTGGAATAAGATTAGAAATAATGTGTAGTAGGGGGAAAATATTTTTCTCACGAAAGGCATAAAGCTAACCGGAAAAGTCAACAATGACTTGACGCAAGAACCCAGGTAAGGTTTGCCGACTCTCACCCGATGTTGAACGTTGGGCCGACGTTGGCGAATTCACGGCA